AACACGTTCTCACTCCCAACTCGTCAAATGTGTGATGCATGGTCAGGCTCCCTCTGCTTCACTTATCGCCGCGCAGGGTACCCCCCTCGCGTCGAGAATTGACGTGCAGGGTCCTCTCATTGAATACTATAGAGCTCCCTTAACGTTGTTTATTGACGACAAGAGATTGCCACGGAAGAGCCTGTTGTCCATATATTTATATATTTCCAAAATCACATTGTAGTGACGTATACTGAAGACAATAAATTATATAATTAAACAACTACCTGAGAAACAGCAGATACAGCAGATAAAGTAATTATAGGCTATTACTTTTGTATCGTTTATTGCATTTATGGAGGGAGTGGTGTATGCTAGGTAATGGCACAGCTAGCGACTGGGTGACTTTATTCACCCGCTTCGGCTGTTATCAGTCCATACAATGGGCGTTATTAGCACAAATCAGTCCCATAGATATGGGCCGTCTCCTGCTTGATTGTTCAGAAGGTTGTTATTATCCATCCAGATGGAGGATCACTAACAGGAGCGTGGCAAGACTGGCAGTCTTTGCATGATGTCCACGTCACTGTACGTTTCTAGCTGACTCTCAGGTGTGACAGGTGTGCCAGCAGGAAAGAGTAATAATAACCTGCATCCTGAGGTTTGTCATGCAGGATTAAAGGAGCCAGGCTTTGTTCACACAGCTAGGATTGTATTTTACCCTGACCCTGGGTCAGTATAAGTATCATACAGTTTAAACGAAGCACTGAAACTTGCATATATTTATTACAGATGCACTGAAGCTAATCGGGATATTTACTGTCAGTCTGTGGCTGCGATTAACTAGTAACTTTCATCAGTCATGACAGAAGCTAATATTTCTGTGCTAACATCATTTACACAGTAACAGCTTTACTCCAATATAAGCTAACGTTTACACCACAACTTTAAGCTAGCACCATAAAGACGGTAAAACACGTAATAATATCTACAAATGCATCTTAAAGCTGTTATATTAGCACTCGGGACTGATTTGTGCTAATAACGCCCATTGTATGGACTGATAACAGCCGAAGACGATGAATAAAGTCACCCAGTCGCTAGCTGTGCCATTACCCAGCATACACCACTCCCTCCATAAATGCAATAAACGATACAAAAGTAATAACTATAATTAATTTATCTGCTGTATCTGCTGTTTCTCAGGTAGTTGTTTACATTATATAATTTATTGTGTTCAGTATATGTCACTACAATGTGATTTCGGAAATATATAAATATACGGACAACAGGCTCTTCCGCGGCAATCTCTTCTCGTCAATAAACAATGTTAAGGGAGCTCTATAGTATTCAATAAGAGGACCCTGCACGTCGATAAGTGAAGCAGAGGGACCCTGACCATGCATCACACATTTGACGAGTTGGGAGTGAGAACGTGTTGGTGCAACATATGCAACATACAACATAGAAACAAAAACATGCAAGACATAAAACTGTTTTTAAAGGACGAGCTGACACAGAAAAACCAAAAAACATGTCATTAAAATCAACTCTGAGTTTGACACCTACCAAACACCTCTTCAGCTCCAATCCTCAAAGTCTAAAGTTGTCTTCAGCACGATAAGTGTTGCCACCTCAGCATGAGCCCTTGTACAGGAGTAGAAGTAAAAACAGGAGGCAAAGAAGTCACAGACACTCTTTTTGGGGAAATTCATCTTTTCAAGCTGTTACAACATCATCTTTTGTATAACCTGTGATGCTTTGAGTCACTGCACTGATGTATGATTTGAAAGACCAAGACTATCATACACTCGTCTCAACCAGGGTGTGTCACACTGTGCACATGCTGGGCGATATTTCTGCTACAGGCAGAATGATAGTTGCACTAGACTGGTGATGTTGCAATGAGCTTAACAGAGTGGCAAAGTGGAAGTGATCTAAAGCTTGGATTAGTCAACAAACACTTGGGAACCAGACAGATGTGGGACTATAGAGGTTTCTTATTGAACTTACACATGAGCCTCATTTGTTCATACTTTTGAGGAAGCACAAATGGCGAAACAGCAGGAGGAAGTAGCTGGTGTGTTTCAAGATAGGAGAAACATACAAAAAACTGTAAGATATAAAAATGTTTTTAAAGGACGAGCTGACACACAGAAAAAAAAGAAAAAAACGTCATTAAAATCAACTCTGAGTTTGATTCATTCATATTGTTTAAGGGTAGTGACCTGCAACTCCCAGTGCATGTAAGTTTGTGGAACCAGAGGTTTGTACAGATTATCAAACAGTTTGGTTTGTTGCAACCCTGGAATTGCATTTATAGAATAGACTAGAATAGAATAGAATAGAATAGAATAATCCTTTAATTGTCCCACAAGGGGAAATTTGGTTGTATCAGCAGCAAAAAAACACACATATACAAAAAGAACAGGACATAGAGCAGAAAACAAAAAACACAGTTTGTACATATTTACATCATGGACAATAGTTACCAGAGCAGATTACAGTACAGTTGTTAAAAATAGCGTAGAGATAGCGTGCAAACATAGCGGGATACCGAACGATTTTTAAATAGTTCAGAATATTTAGAATAATTAGAAAAGTGCAGATTGTGTATTGTACCTGTGCATTAAAAAGTAGACATGTAACTTTCAATAAGTTAATGTATATATAAACTGAGAAAAGTAACGTGCAGTTATAACAGTAGACGTTGTTACAGCACTGAACATCTATGTTTGTTGGGAGCAGTTCTGATTATACAGTATGACAGCTGCAGGGAGGAAGGACCTGCGGAAACGCTCCTTCATGCATCGAGGATGCAGCAGTCTGTCACTGAAGGAGCTCTGCAGTTCAGCAACATCTACATGCATGGGGCGGGAGACTCTGTCCATCAGAGATGTTATTCTGGCCAGAGTCATTCTGTCTCCCACCACCTGCACTGGGTCCAGGGTGCATCCCAGAACAGAACAGGCCTTCCTGATGAGTTTATCCAACCTCTTCCTCTCAGCTGCCGATAAACTGCTGCTCCAACATACCACACTGTAAAAAATGACAGATGCCACCACAGAGTCATAGAAGGTCTTTAAAAGCGCTTCCTGTACTCCAAATGACCTCAGCCGCCTCAGCAGGTAGAGTCTGCTCTGACCCTTCCTGTACAGAGAATCAATGTTGTGGCTCCAGTCCAGTTTAGTCTGACTTACTGAGTCAGACTCAATAGAAAAGATGATGTAAGCCGGCACGTTGAAGCTTCAGTGAAAGCTTGAGTGACCACTCTGATAGTGGTCACCTTCACCTCTCCAGACTCCGCCCTGTTCTCTCAGGAGTACCTGATAGTTCTGTTTCTGCCACCTGCATCTGACTGTGGAACACAGCATGAAAGAAACAGGAAGAAGTCAGGTAAGAAAACCTTTATTTATAGAGCACATCTTAATCCAGGTGCAAATACAATCAAAAAAACGCACATTTAAAGCCCCATGGTAAAGACATGAATTAAACGAATCAAAACAGCAAATATGAAGAAAAGAACACAAGGAAATAGTCAAAATTTAAAAGACCTAAAAATAAATCCCTAAAACTCAAAAAAACCCTTAAAACTGCTGAAGCAGCAAAAGAGAACGATAAGCTTAAACTAAGAAAAAGCGAAGTAATTAAATCAGTTACGATGAACTGTGAACTGTGGGGCCTGTCCACTAAACAGGCCCCACAAGAGTGTTTCAGTCATTTCTTTATCAAGATGACAACATTTAGGTTAAAACCAGAAGCAGAAAAAAGATATTTTAATCATTTGCCAAAGAAACAACTCCATATCCTTCATCCGTTTTCCTGCTTGGGCTGGACTGAGGTCAGTTTTGTCATCAGACAGTGAGTCTGAAGGTCGTTCCCACATTCCAGTTATTATTGGGGGTACGCACATGCTGCAGGAGCAAAAGCTGAAATCTCTATGCAGACCATTGATTCCCAGCCTCAGTTTTCATTTGCATTGCTCTCTTGACCTGTTTGTCTCTCCACCTGTGACCAAGGTTGTGATTGTACAGAAGACGTCCATCAGGGAACACGTCCCCGCAGCGATTCCACGGGTACCTGGTGTAAGTGAGTTGATGCTCCTTCAGGATGTTTTGCCCCAAAAAAAACATTTTCCCGCATGTTTCGCACCAGAACGATCTCTCTCCAGTATGCAGACGCCTGTGGTGGTTAACACTGGACCACTGAGTGAAGGTTTTGTTGCACTTGTCGCACCAGTATGGCTTCTCTCCAGTGTGTATACAGCGATGGCTTCTGCCAGTTGAGCAAAGGTTTTGTCACACAGGTTACATCTATATGGTTTCTCTCCAGTGTGCAGCCGAGGGAGCCGGACTCTGTAAACTGTTTGCCACATTCTCCACAAACATAGAGTTTCTCTCCAGTGTGAACACGGAGATGATTTGTCAGTGTATCTGAAAGTGCGAACGCAGCGAAGAAATTTACCTTACATAACACATTTTGAATGTGTTTTTATCACTTTCTGATGCTTTATTAATTAAACAATACATGTATTAATTGTTGTGTTATCTATAGATATAATATTTATATATATTTATTTATAGTATAGCAAATATATTTAATTATTATTGTTTAAATGACTAATATGTGACATGTATTAGTAGTGATGTGGTGCTGAGGGTTAAAATGCCTTTTTGTCTTTTGGTATATTACGAAATGGATATAAAACAACTAATATATTTCTATGCTGTGCTCGCATTTATTTTACCCTACTCAAATTCAATGATATGACACATTTTAAGATTTGAAATGGTTCTTTAAAGAACCATTTCAAAAATGTTCTTTAAAATGTTTTTTTAAAGAACCATTTGAAGGACCTTTTTAAAAATGGTTCATTGAAGAACCTTTAAAGGTGCCCCAAAGAACCATTTCTTGATGGTTCATTGGGGCACCTTTAAAGGTTCTTCAATGAACCACTAAAAGAAATGGTTCTTCAAAGAACCATTGTTTGAAAGGTTCTTCGCGGCACCAAAAACGTTCTTCTATGGCATCAGTCTAAAGAACCACTTTTGGTTCCAGTTGGCACCTTTATTTTTCTGAGTGATAATGTTCTCAATCTTGGTAGAAGTACTGCTGCAATTAGGGTCTTTCATTATTTCTCCAAAACGTTTCTGGATCCCATCCCGCAGTGCATCAACAAGAGGTCTACACATTTTGCAAGAGGACTCCAGCTTCTCCAGCACCTGGTAAAATGTTGGCAGTTAGAAGCCCATGTGCACAGATGATTAGCCTTGGAGGATATTAAAGGCCATGGCAACAGGCTTCATCACAGCAGTGTACTCAACCACAAATCCCATTTCAGCAGGATTGAACCTAAAAAAGGTGTAAAAACAGAAATAAGTCATAGCCATTTCTACAAGAATGTAATAACTATGCATTGTCTGTAAAATTTGCAAATGATTGGAAAATAAGACCGTAAAATTATAAGTAATTGATAAGGAATATTTACATTTTTCAGTCTCATTCAAAGTCACTTAAAAAAGGGTGGATTCACACATTAATCACAATTTAATATTTAAAAACAAGTTCCGTCAAATTACATCTTTATCTTTAATGCTGTGCAAACATTGCTGATTCCTTTCTCTTCTTGCTCTTTATGAATGCGCACAAGTCTTTCCACAGCAAGGAACAGGGAGATCCAACGAGTCTGATTGGGTCGAA